ATATATATATATATATATATATATATATATATTTGAAATTAGAGAGGAGATATGGTGATGGATGCTTATACTGTAATCCCAAGACTCTGGGAGGCTGACTCAAGAGGATCGCAACTTTGAGCTCAGCCTGGCAATTTAGCAACTTAGCAAGATCCTGCCTCAAAATTAAAAATAAACAACAAAGAGCTGGGACTCAGGTCTTGGGCTCAAACTCTAGTACTGGGAGAAAAAAAATCCTAGAAATTAAACATTAGCAATCCCTATATTATACACCTAGACACCTATGGACTCAAAAAACTTAGCCTTTCTAAGTGCACAAGATGTCCGAAGGAAAAACAGACACATGAGAAAGTACTCAAATTAGTTATACAATACAAAATAAAGTCACAACAAAGTACCACTGCATACCAACTAGAATGGCTAAATTGAAAGTTTTTTTTTTTAATTACTAACATACATTTTGCTTAGGTCCTTAGGCAATAAGGATAATATGTATTGTTGTTAAAAATGTAAGATATCCTGGTTTGCTTTGGTTTGCTTTGTAGTCCTGGGGATTGAATCCAGGGCTTTATGCATGCTAGGCATGTGCTCTACCACTGAGCTACATCCCTAGCTCAGTATTGGCCTATTTTTAAACTCTGTATAAATGGAGCTAAACAATAAGTGCTCTTTTATCTGGCTTCTTTCAAGTAACATTGTTTATGAGAGTCATTCATATCATTTTGGGTACCTATACTTTTTCATTCTTGGTACTACATAGGATTTTATGTAGTAAATGTTGAGCATTTGAGTAGTTTCTGATTGTAGTGTTACAGCAGATATTCTTGTACATGATTTTGCTGAATATGTTTATATCAGGGCCAGGGATTTAGCTCAGTGGTTCGGCTGCCTGCCTCGCAAGCGCAAGGTCCTGAGTTCGATCCACAGTACAAAAAAGAAAAAGATTTATATTTGTCTGTAGAGTTTATACCCAGGAGTTGAATTTCCATGTCACAAGATATGCATATGTGGAACCCAGTTTACACTCACACCAGTAGTGTATGAATTCTCATTGTTCTGTATTCTTGCAGACACTTCATATTTTCTTTCTCAATTTAGCCATTCTGATTGATTTGGCATGGTATTAGTTTTCTTTTTCTTATTTTATTTTATTTGTGGACCTGGGGATTGAACCAAGGGCCTCATGCATGCGAGGCAAGTGGTTTACCACTGAGTTATAGCCCCAGCCCTGTATTACATTATTTTAAGCTGCACACTTTTTTCATGTGTCTGCTGGTCATTTGGATCACCTTTCGTTATAAAGTTCTTGTTTAGGTCTTTTGCCCACTGTGTATATGTATGTGCAGTGCTGGGGATCGAACCCAGGCCTTGCACATAATAAGTAGGTGCTTTACCACTGAGCTATATCCCCAGTCTTCATCATTTTTTATTGTTATCTTTTTTTTATTAATTTCTGATTGAGTAAAATTTGGGGGGGGGCGGTACTGGGGATCAAACTCCCATCCTTGGGCTTGCGCACCAGGTGGGAAAACCACTGAGCTAAATCCCTGGCCCATTGAGTAAAATTTTTATTGCTTTCCAAATTCATGAATGTCATCTGCTTTTCCCAACAGATTTTTTTGTTTTGTTTTTGAGACAAGGTCTCACTGTGTAATCCAGGCTGGCCTCGAACTCCCAGGATCCTCCTGCCTCAGCCTTCCAAATGCTGGGACTACAAGTGTGCACCACCAACCCCAGCCGAATGGCATCTGCTGGTTTTTTTTTTTTGGGTACCGGGCATTGAACTCGGGTCCTTGCGCTTGCACAACAGGTGGCGAAACCACTGAGCTAAATTCCCGGTCCCTGGCATCTGCTTTTAGAGGAATTTTTTTTTTAAGCAAACATTTATTGATACATTTTAGATATACATAATGGTAACATTTGTTATAGGGCATTTATACCTGTACATGATATATCATTCTTTGTTTTTGGGTACCAGGAATCGAACTCGGGAACTTGCATTTTCAAGGCAGGCAGTGGAACCACTGAGCTAAATCCCTGGCCCCATGATAGAGCATTCTTCTTTTTTTCTCATTTCCTTCCCCTGCCTTGGACCCCTTAGAGGAATTCTAGATCTCCAATTTAGTTGTGCTTTAAGGTGTCCAATAAACAGCTTTTGTGTGCGTGTGTGTCTGTGTGTGTGTGTGTGTGTGTTTGTGTTTGTGAGACAGTGTCTAGCTTTGTAGTTCAGAGTGGCCTTGAACTCACTGTGTAGCCCAGGCTGGCCTTGAACTCATGGTGATCCTCCTGCCTCAGCCTCCCAAGTATTGGGATCACAAGTGTGTGCCACCACTCCTGGCTAAACCGCTATGACTGACATTTAGCTTTTACCAGCTATCTGGTTAACTGAAAACTACTAACCAAAAAGGCAAGGTAATTAATTATTAGCTAGTTTTTTAAGAGCATAGCCTTTTCTTATTCCTTGATTATAAGTTGTTTTGGGGGCGGTTACCGGGGATTACTCAGGACCTTGGGCTTTCAAGGTAGGCAGCGGCACCACTGAGCTAAATACCCGGCCCTTGATTATAAGTAATTTATATTTCTGCCTCCCCTTCCTTCTTTTATGGTTCTTGGAGAGTGTATAGTCATTACTGAACAGAATGAAGGACTTTTCCCCCCTTGATTTTTTTCAATGTCATTATTTAATGTTTCTGTGATGTCTTTGTACAATGAGGCACAAGAGAGCAGCAACTCTGTAAAGAAGAAAACGAAGTTTGTCAATTTATACACAAGAGAAGGACAAGACAAGCTTGCAGTCCTGCTTCCTGGTCGCCACCCTTGTGATTGCCTGGGCCAGAAGCACAAACTCATCAATAACTGTCTAATCTGTGGGCGGATTGTCTGTGAACAAGAAGGTTCTGGGCCCTGCTTATTTTGTGGCTCTCTGGTAAATTGGTTTTCTATTTTGTTTTACTGAGCTTTGTTTTAATACACAGGGCCATTGAAATGCATAGTAATTTCTGTTTTTCTTAGTAAATTTCTTCCTTAAGGTGTCCAGTAAATTCTATTAGCAGATGTTTGATTAGTCTAAAACCCAAGGTTATAGTCTAGGCCTGAGGCCTATTAATAAAGAAAGCTTTAAGAACGTATATTATCTAGGGAACCAAGTCTGTATCAGATTAACTTTAATTCAAAGAAACTTTGAAGCCTGAAATATTAGAATTTCTTGTCAAAGTCTTCAGATGTGGCTCATATCCCTAGGGTACCAAGCCACTGTGACATAACCCTCAAGTCATGATAGCTTCTGTTTCTAGGACACTGCCTTGTTAAACTCTGCTTTGTTTGAGAGAATGACCTCAAGAATGTAGCAACAATGACTCACTCAAAAAACCCTAATGAGCTCTGTAGAAAGCTTATTTGACCAGTTGGGCTGGCTGGCAGAAGCAATGGTATTTGATTTTGGTAAAGGTGTCCATTTTGTGTTGCTTTGTTGTCTCATCGCTGGTGGAGCATTCATTTTTCCATATACTCAGAATAAACAAATAGTGAATGAACTGAAAAATATAGTGCTTCCCTCTAAAAATGTTCATAAAGCAGCAGTAAATCTAGCAGGAACTCTGTTGCCATCAGGCAGTTGCTAGGAAGTTCAGTGTTCTCTCTTAGGTCCCTTAGACCCTTCAGTTCATTAAACAGAAGAGAAAAAAGCAGATTGGCTGAAGTCTTACAGTTTTATAAGCTCTGCAGAACCCCTTCTCACCTCCCTTCTTACAATTGCAGTAATTTCATAATAAACAGAGTTTATTTATGTATTTATTTTTGAGGCAGAATCTAAGTTGATCAGACTGAGCTTAAACTTGCAATCCTCCTCCTCAGCCTTGCAGTGTGTTAGGATTATAGGAATGTGTCACCATCCCAGCTGGCTTTCTTCTTTTTTTCTTAATATATTTATTATATATAGGTAGTGTTTGAAATAAAGAAACAAAATTTAGGGCTGAGGATTTAGCTCAGTGGTTCCACCGCCTGCGTTGCACGGGCAAGGTCTGGAGTTTGATCCCCAGTACCAAAAAAAAAAAAAGAAACAAAATGTATATAGTTGGGCTGAGGATATAGCTCAATAGTAGAGCTCTTCCCTAGCATACCTGAGGTCCTGAGTTCTTTTTTTTTGAGACAGGGTCTCCATATGTAGTCCCAGCTGGCCTTGGACTCACTGTGTAGTACAGGCTGGCCTTGAATTTGCAGCAATCCTCCTGCCTCAACCTCCAGAGTGCTGGGGTTACAGGTGTGCACCACCATGCTTGGCAAGGTCCTGAGCTCTATCCCAAGCATCACAAAACACAATGTATATATTTGCACATATATAGTGTGAAAGCAAGACTAATTCTCTTCGTTTGTTTTGTTTTCTCTTGTATGAAAACCTAGACTAATTCTCACTGGTGGTACTGTAATTTGAATCTTTTTTTGGCTCTTTCTAATAAAGTAGCTGTTTGTAATTTATCTTCTCAGATTTGGATTTCATTATTCGAACTAGGAGGCTTAAAGTTAAAAGTCTTGGGGGCCAGGGATTTAGCTCAGTGGTTCCACTGCCTGTCTTGCAAGCGGAACGTCCTGAGTTCGATCCCCAGTACCAAAAAAAAAAGCCTGGTTTGATTTTTTCCAATATTCTCACCAGAGGCAAGTATTTGTCCTTTGAAAGTAGCTTAGATTTTTTTTTTTTAAATCATTAGGTCACACAAGGATACTTGTAGTAAGGTAAATTTTTTGTGTGGCTCATAAAAGGGAGCAGTGCAAAGAGACCTTGGGCAAAACTAATGTGATATATACATTTTGGTATTTTGGATAAGAAAGCACCAATAATCTCATTGTTTTATTGTCATATCTATAGTTTTAAGTTACTGTACACTAATTTGAGAGACTTTCAAAGTATATTAAGCAAGTGATATAATTTATGTATTATATAATTTATGTATAATAATTTACTAATTTACAGGTATGTACTCATGAAGAG